TAGCCCATAGACTCAGTCTCCAAGACTACTTCTTAATCTTGATTTTAAAGGATCCTTGTGGTGATATTGTTCATTTCCCCAGGTACTTTTTACAGTAGTTTTCTTCATTTGGGTGGGGGATGTCTCACTTCTTCCAGCCTTCTCAACTGTGCTTTGCAGTGGTTGGTTTATGCCAGAAACGAACCTTCCCAGGTCAGATTCAGTATGTCCCCTTCCCAACTTTTTATTAGTATTTTTCCCAGGCTTGAAAAAATGAGCTGGAAATCTTGAGAAACTGGTTCTCAGTTTGCATGGTAGAAACATCTATGAACCCACAAAGATGTAAGAGGCCATATCCCTCTTTAGAGCTACGTCAATCCCAAGCAACGCTGGAGGAAGACAGTTTTGACCTACTCTAAGATAACCTTAATCACATTACCCACTGGGAGGAGAAAGATCTATCTACCTGGAGAGGTGATCCATTATTGTCAGTAAATATTTTAGGGTTTTTTTTTTAACTTTAGTCATTTTTCTGAAGTCCATTGGAATACTTCGAAAGGGTCTCAATTCAGGAAACCCTAACCCTTAGCCCTAATCCGTGTGTGTGTGTGTGTGTGTGTGTGTGTGTGTGTGTTTTATTAGTGCCCCCATTTTTCCCTTTGGCAACTTGCCCCTCCCTTACATGCCTGTTTAGCAATAATGTAGACCCCATACAACTACAACTTCCATACTGTATCACATTTAGCCTGTGTTCCGTAGTCACCCCCTTTTGGTGGGATTACACTGGTTAGTGTCCTGAGCCCTCTCTGATGAAGAGGAAAGACAATTTACCAGAGGAAACTCATTGTTCCCAGGGTCCGTGGCTGACCTTGGAGGGCAAGGCATAACATATGGATGGCCTTTGTATCCCCTTACTCTCGATGGTGTAGGTATTTTCTGTGTATTGTTCTAGAATCTGAGCCCTGTAGCCACAAATCACAAGCAAAGAACCACCTGAGCACATACAGTTGTGGGTAGAGAGGACAAATAGGCCTGAGCCAGAGTAGTGAGGTCAAATAATTCAGTATTGAGCAGCCTTAAAGATAAGCAGAGGAAAACCTGATATTAGCTAATGCACTTAATAGCCTCTGGAATATTAATAAGCCTTATAAGAGGCACAGGAGAGAGATGGATATTAGAGCACTCACGGGGGCCACAGAACATTTTTTGTAACTTGAAAGAAGCTACACAGAGACCTTTGCTATTTGGGTCAGGTCCTGGTACTCTCTAGTTAGGAACTCCTGAGCAAGACAATGTTGGGCAGAAAAACTCAGACCCCACAGCCAATTTTACAGATAACATGTACAAAAGTGCCAGGACAAATGACATGCTTGGAGGATTCATTAAAATCCAGTTTCTGGGAGCAGTATGTACTGGGAGGTCACGTCCTCTGGGAGGATGGCCCCGCCAGACCTCCCTCAGGAGAAAGCTTGGGGTGCTGCTGCCCCAGGGGTGATGAAACTGGGCAGCTGCCAGTCTCCTTTAAGCACTCCTCCGTACCTCTTTTCAATTCCTACAGTGCTTCTCTTATATCACAGACACCTACAGGGTAGAAGAGAATGAGAATCTAAGGATATGGTCTGAAGTAATTCGGATCTGTTGTTTGCTGTTTTGATGATGGCGTTTTGAATTGGGGTGAGATGGAATCTCTTATTTTCGGTTTGCATTTCAAAGCTAGCTAATCATGATGAACGTTGCTCCTCCTGAGTCAATGTGTGTTTTGCAGATCTGAGAAGGAAAGCATGCTGACGGACTCCGCCTCTTGCTTTCCAAGCTCTTGCCTTAGATCTCATCTTCTTCATGGTGAGGACTGGCAACAGCAGTGACTGCAGGACCATTTGACCTCCGATCTATTGCAGCCACACAGACTCTGAAGAGCACCCCACCAGAAAAAAACTCCTCTTTTTTTCTTCAGCATCTTGAACATCTGTGCCTACTGGTGTTGGAGGTAAGGCTTTGTCTCTGACTTAGGCAATACGTGGGAGTTGTAAGCTTTACACAGCAACACCAAAAGCTCCTGACTCCTAATAGTCTCTTATTCCTCAGTCTTCAGGCCCCAGTCTTTCCATCTTTACTCTAAACACCACATACAGGAGCCACTTTGAATGTTTGGGGATACTTGCAATTATTTTTTTTTCCTTCTGGGCCAACCTGCGATGCCAGAATCCATGCTGCTGGGTGGCTGGTAAAACTCAGAACTCTGTTTCCATATGCTTGAATTTTCCTACACTCTTGGCATCTGAATCAGACCCCACATGAACATTACCACAAAGAGGGCTGTCCAATGTCAGCTGAAGTTCCTTTTGCCTACATTTCTGCTCAATATTTAAAATAATTCAGAAAAGCCATTTTTTCACTTTTTAAAATTTTATTTGTATTTTTTTTAATTTTTATTTTATTTTAATTAGTTACAGTTTATTCACTTTGTATCCCAGCTGTAGCCCCTTCCTTCATCCCCTCCCAATCCCACCCGCCTTCCAAAACTCCTCCCATGCCCCAACCACTTGGAGACTGAGCTGTCATGGGCTACATCTGTGCAGGGGTTCTAGGTTATCTTCATGCATGGTCCTTGGTTGGAGCATATCAGTCTCAGAAAAGACCCCTGTGCACAGATTTTTTTGATCTGTTGCTCTCCTTGTGGAGCTCCTGCCCCATCCAAATCTTCCTATCTCCCACTTCTTTCATAGGATTTGGTGCACTCTGCCCAAAGTTTGGCTATGAGTCTCAGAAGGAGGCAGAAAAGCCATTTGAAAACAACTTTTAAATTGAAATACACTGAACAATGACATAGGGAAGAGAGTTATAAAAACATGTTTTCAAAATTTTAGCTCTCTCTCCTTGATTTCTCCTGGCCATTTCCATCAAGTACAGAATTGCACCCTAGTGATTTTGGCCTCTGCTGACAGCTGTTGATGTGAGGTCACCATACTAACAAAGCTGTTTTCCAGAAACAGATTCTTCCTCTCTAGCTCCACGTGCATGTCTTGCTCTTTCTCTTTAGAGGATAGGATGAAGAGACAACGATCAGGATAGGAGGAAAACTGTGAATCTTGATTCAGAGGGAAGCAGTAATACAACCCTGCTCTTCTCCTTTCCTTTGAAATATTGTTCATACCTCAGCACAGAAATCTTAAAGAATGTGCCAGTCATTTTCTTTCTCCCTTTGTTTTTCTATCTATACATCTTCTATGAAATCTACCTCAAAACATTTTCAAGTCTCATATGTGACAGAAACTCACTGCCCCAAAATGTCTGTTGTTTTTGTTGTTTTGATTTGGTTTGTTTTGGTTTTCTGATTTTGTCTTTTTGCTTTAGATAATCAAAGGGCTTCCACGCAGAGTTTCTGGGTAAGAGCTGTCATTTTGATAAAATAGACTTTATGATATCATATATCATATGATCTGACATAGAACAAGGGGAATATTAGGTGCCAAGGAACCTGTGAGACATCGTTTTCAAGAGGGCATAGCTCTGGCCAGCGTCTGTACACAGCTCAAGAGGTAAAGAACACAGGAAGGCGTTCTGTACTGCTTTCCCTGCGCTGGCCTCGTGGTGCTATCTTTCACCTCTTTCACACTACTGAGCTCTCTGATTTAACCAGATCATATTCCTGTGTAACCAACACCTCATGGGATACTTCTTCAGGAAATCCTTTTCTGAAACCTCTCTTTTATGTTCTCCATAATTCAACTATCAATAGTCAAGATTCATAATACAGATTTCTGTGTGATGTGTTTTCATGCTTTTGCAGTTATTTTTCGAATCAAGTGACGTTCCTGATACATTGTAGGTTCTTTGGAAATTTTGACTGCGTGAAGGAAATGAATTGGAGCATATGGCCCTTTCAGTTATGATCCTCTCACCTAAAGTCATGATCTGAAATAACTGGTGCAGAGTCACATAACACAGAAGGAATCGGAACACCTGGTGATGACACATTGGGTAGTAAATTTTCCATTTCTCTTCCAGTATGCATCCCTTTTCTTTCCTCCAACTGTGAAACACACAGATTCCTAAAATGTAGGCTGCGTAGATACCATCACATGCACACACACACGTGCACACACACAGAGATGCCCATGTCCTTCATGTCCTTCTTCAAGTGGAACTAAAAACATGAATTCAGTATTCGCATAAGTCCATCCTTACGCTTGCAGTCTTTCTCTAACTCCTACATAATGGTTTGGCTTTGGGCCTTCCCTGCCTGACTTACTTTTGTAATTCACACCATCCAGCATGTGCTATAAATATAGATATCTGCCATGCCTCTGTGTAGGCCATTTGAATTTTTTGTCCACTCCTAAATATATCTTACTGTTGACTTCAGATAGGCAAATGCCTTCTGTATTTTCTGTATTCTTCTTACCAATGGGCCATTAAGCTCGCCCACCATGTCATCCAGTTTAGAATAACTTTTCACTTCTACAGAGTAGCAAGTAGTCAATAAAGAACAGGAGGACATTTGAAAACTACAAGATATCATGTGGTCCAAAGACTAAGTATTTCTGGCAAGAAAGCTATCAGTGAGATCAGCAAGAATAGGCAGAACTCTAGTCAAAGGAAAAATAAAAATATTTTATATATTAATATTTAAATTTTGAATTGTAATCACAAGCAAACTTCAGTCAGAAACAGAATTTAAAAAAACACTCTGTGTTTAATATGGAGACACACATGACTATATCTATCTATAAAGATATTTTTCTACGCACAATTTAACTAACACCTTAAGAAAAAGATTCTCAATGTTTTGGAGTTCTCAGTGTGCTGCTACCCATTTAATTGAACATATACCAAAATTCGGTGAAAAATTTCAGAAACTAGATATTGTACTTAGCTAAGAAAATTTAAAAAGTTGCTATATGATATTCTTGCTGGCTATCTCCCAGTGCCCTAAGGCAATTCAGATTGGGTTGAACTCCCTTAGAAAGGCTCCTACTAAGGAAGCATCTGTTTCTAGGCAACAGGAAAGACGGCTCAGAATGACACTCTGGAACTCCACCTTGGAAAGCGGCTTCATCTTGGTGGGGATTCTGGATGGCAGTGGCTCTCCTGAACTGCTCTGTGCCACAATCGCTGCCCTGTACACACTGGCACTGACTAGCAATGGACTGCTGCTCCTGGTCATCACAGTGGATGCCCGGCTCCACGTGCCCATGTACCTCCTACTTCGACAGCTGTCTCTCATCGACCTCCTCTTCACATCGGTTGTCACTCCCAAGGCCGTCGTGGATTTTCTTTTGAGAGACAACACCATCTCCTTTGGGGGCTGTGCCCTTCAATTGTTTTTGGCAATGACAATGGGTGGTTCAGAGGACCTCCTTCTGGCCTTCATGGCCTATGACAGGTATGTGGCCATTTGCCATCCTCTGAACTACATGATCTTCATGAGTCCTAGGGTCTGCTGGCTCATGGTGGTCACATCATGGATCCTGGCATCCCTCAGTGCACTAGGTCATACTGCGCACACGATGCACTTCCCTTTCTGCATGTCCCGGGAAGTCAGACACCTGCTCTGTGAGGTTCCTCCACTGTTGAAGTTGGCTTGTGCAGATGCCTCCCAGTATGAGCTCATGGTTTATGTGACAGGAGTGATATTCCTACTGCTCCCCCTTTCTGCCATTGTTACCTCCTACTCAGTAATCCTGTTCACTGTGGTCCACATGCCCTCAAATGAGGGCAGGAAGAAAGCCCTTGTCACCTGTTCCTCCCACCTGACCGTGGTTGGCATGTTCTATGGGGCCGCCACTTTCATGTATGTCCTGCCCAGTTCCTTCCACAGCCCAAAGCAAGACAATGTCATCTCTGTGTTCTACACAATTGTCACCCCAGCTCTGAACCCCCTCATCTACAGCCTGAGGAATAAGGAGGTCACTGGTGCCTTAAGGAGAGTCCTGGGGAGACACATTCTGCCAGCACACGCCATCCTTTAGGAGGTTCATAGCTTGCCCCTCGCTATTCCTTCTTCAAACAAATTACTATATTCAACCATTATTTAATGTTATTCTCTGACTCAGATGATGTATGCACTGCTACATTTTCACATTGTGTTTTCTTATGTAGTTGGTGTGAATAGAGAGCTTAGGCTGAATCATCTGACATGTTACTCTGGTCGTGGAAGCCCCACATTTAAAAATTTACAACAGACTAGAAGAGAAAGTTCTGATGAGATGTTTTAGGCGTGTTGTATGGTTGGGCATCATTCCAGTGCAGCACCAGGCAAACATAGTCAGGGATTTGTTTTCTGTTTCAACATCATATAGTAGCAGGAACACTGTTGGTTTTTTGCAATATGAAATAATTGCAAAATGCTCAGTAACACAGAGCACATTCCACTGTTCCTTCAAGTGCCAGAACTAGAATTAGAAATTAGTGGTGAAGACTAACTGACATATATTCCAGACTTGAGAAACATTAACATTAACATTAACATTAACATTAACATTAACATTAACATTAACATTAACATTAACATGAGTCTGTAAATAAAGACATTATCATATTGATAGTGCAAGAGAATTTGAAAATGGAACCTGGCATTTCTATTTGGGAACTTTCACAGCCTACTTAATAGGGTAGTTTACCGTGCCTAAAATGAAAGTATGATCAATAAAATATAATTGAAAGCATCTGAATATAAATATAATGGAAGATATCCAATTAAGTGCTAAAAGGAGTGCATATTTTTAAATTATTTATGTACAAATACATAAACATGTTTCAAAACAGTATAAGAAATATGAATTCTAAAGTATGCATATGTCTGTATCCCACAGGAAGGAAAGTATAAATTATGCTTAAATATGTTCTGTTTTATTGTATATCTTACTGGCATGGTAATTTTATAGTAAAAGGTAAAAATCTTGCTCCTTATTTGAAGGGATATTTTAGACTATAAGTGGAGAGGGAGAGGCATACTCTAAGTTTAAATCCTTGAAATCTTTTAAGTCTGTGTATCTTTGGACATAAAAGAAAAATCACACTTTTCCACTCCAGTTTGTTCATCTCCCAGTAATACTTGGAGAATACTGATCTCACGTGATTTTGTGTGGATTAAATGAGGTAATAAAAGAATAAAAACTACCAGTAAAACCCTCAATGTTTGTACTGTATTGTTTTCCATGTTTTGAATTTTTGATCAGGCACTTACATCTTCCTACATTTATCTCGAGATATCATGTTACATATTACTTTAACTGTTTTATCTTCAATTTTATACTTACTATATAAATGGGTTATGTTCCGTGTTGACATGCAAATATTTGGAATTATTTTGTAATGCTTTCTATGCCAATGAGTTTTCTAACCTCCATTGTTCTTTTTACCTATCAAAGTCTCTTTTCAGGCCAAAGAACTCATGTGGCAGTATAAATTCTTTTAGATTTCTTTGTCTGGTCATGTCTTTGTAGCTCACTGATTTCTAAAGAATAGCTTTGTTGGTCATAGTAACTGTGATTAGAAGATTTTTCTTCAGCTCAGAATTTATCTCGCTTCCCTCCTCATTTATGACGTTTCTGCGGAGAATTCTATGTCAGGCAAGCTGTAATACTTTGTATATGTTTTCTCTTTCTGTTTGGAAAATATTGGTTTTGTCCTTAACATATTTTTGAGAATATGATTGTCTTTGGATAGACTTAGTTTATTTGATTATTCCCTAACTTTCAACTACCAAGAATTTTTGAGTCCTTTAGGTTTGGGGTTTTTATTATTATTGTTGTTGTTGTTGTTATCTCTTTAAACAAGCTTTCTTCAAACTTGGCATTCCCAAATCTCCTTCGAAAGCCTTAGCAAGAATATGTGCTTTTTTGATGGTATTTTCTTGTAATTTTTTTAATCATTTATTACAATTTATTCAATTTGTATCCCAGCTGTGGCCTCCTCCCTTGTCTCCTCTCAACCCCACCCTTTCTCCCTCTTCTCCTCCTATGCTCCTCCCCTAGACTACTGATAGGAGAGATCCTCCTCCCTTTCTATCTGACCTTAGCCTATCAGTTCTAATCTGGACTGGCTGCATTGTCTTCCTCTGTGGTCTGCCAAGGCTGCTCCTCCCAGAGGGAGGCGATCAGAGAGCCTGACACTACGTTCATGGAGGAGACAGCCCCTGTTTTCCCCTTATTAGGAAACCCACTTAGAGACTGAGTCTATGGGCTGCATCTGAATAGGTCCTCTCCATGCATGGTCCTCGGTTGGGGTATCAGTCTCTGCAGGGCCCCCAGGGCTCAGTTTTATTGGCTCTGTTGATTTGCTTTAGGAGCTCCTGTCCCCTCCAGGTCTTTCTATCCCCCACCTTCTTTCATAAGATTCCCTGCAGTCTGCCCAGAGTTTGGCTTTGAGTCTCAGCCTCTGCTTCAAAGCATTGATCAGTAGAGTCTTTCAGAGGCAGACGGTAGTAGACTCCTGTCCTGTTCCCTGTCTTCTCCTGCTTCCAATGTCTGTCACATTTGTCCTTCTGAATGAGGATTGAGCATCTTCCCTAAGGCCTTCCTTGTTGTTTAGCTTCTTTAGCAGTATAGATTTCAGTATGCTTATCCTATATTATATGGCTAATAACCCATTATAAGTGAGTATAAGTGTGTGTCTCTCTGCTTCTGGGATGCCTCACTCAGGATGATCTTTTCTAGATCCCACCATTTACCTGCAAATTTCATGATTTCCTTGTTTTTAATTGCTGAGTAGTATTGCCTTGTGTAAATGTACCACAATTTCTGTATCCTTAAATTTTTTTGATGCTGGTTTTGTAAATTTTCCTCATTATTTTCAAATAACCTCTTTTTTGTTTCACTCTTTCTTCTGTTTGGTGCATTCTGCTTTTGGCATGTTCTGTAATGTCTTAATGCCTCTTAGTTACACATTTTAGCTCCAGGTTTTCTGATTGTTTTCCTTTTTAAAATTACTTAAATCATTCTGTTAAGTTTCCTGGCTAGACAACTAAATTGTGGTTTTGTTTTTTGTTTTTTTGGTTTTTTTGTTTGTTTGTTTGTTTTGGGTTTTTTGTTTTTGTTTTTTTTTTTGTTTTTTGTTTTTTGTTTTGGTTGAAGTTCATGGAGTTTTCTTTAAAAACATTTGAAAGGCTCTACCCTGCAGGGTATTAAAGCAGATGCTGAGACTTATAGCCAACCTTTTGGTAGAGTGCATGGAATTTTATGAAAGAAGTAGAAAATAGTAATACCTGGAGAGGACAGGAGCTCCACATGGAGAGCAACAGAACCAAAAATCTGGGCACCGGGGTCTTTTCTGTGACTGATACTCCAACTAGGGACCATTCATGGAGATAACCTAGAACCCCTGCACAGATGTAGCCCATGGCAGTTCAGGGTCCAAGTGGGTTCCATAATAATGGGAACAGGGACTGTCTATGACATTAACTAATTGGCCTGCTCTTTGATCACCTCCCCCTGAAGAGGGAGCAGCCTTACCAGGCCACAGAGGAAGACACTCCTGATGAGACCTAATAGACTAGGATCAGAAGGAAGGAAAAGAAGACTTCTCCTATCAGTGGACCCGGGGAGGGGCATGTGTGGAAAGTGGGAAAGGAAGAGCGGGATTGGGAGGGAAGGAGAAAGGGAGCTACAGAGGGGATACAAAGTGAATAAAGTGTAATTAATAAAAAATTTAAAAAAAACATTTTTATTCATTATGTACAATGTTCTATCTGTGTGTACATCTGCACACCAGAAGAGAGCACTAGATATCGTTATATGATGGTTGTGAGCTACCATGTTGTTTCTGGGAATTGAACCCAAGACCTTTGGAAGAACAGCCAGTGCTCTTAACCTCTGAGCCACCTCTCCATCCCTCATTGAGTTTTCTTAAAACAGCTGTTTTGAATTATTTGTCCAGAATTTCACTCATGTTAGTTGCTATAAGTTCTATTTCTAACATCTTAGTTTTCCTGTTTTACAAGGATTGAAAATCCTAGTACTTGTTAATGTACAACATTGTCTTCATTGTCATCATCGTCTTCATTGATGATTGGGTGTTTGTTGCAGTCTTCACAACAGCTTTATTTATCTCCATTTCTAGAAAGGCTGCTCAGTTTCTCAGGGTATGGGTGACAAAGTAGTTTTAGCAATAAGTGGTACCTTACATACAGTTGTGCTGAGTCAGTAATTGATGTTTTGCCATTTTTTTTCATACTAGACAGTGCCTTAAGCCTAAATTTGTACCAAATCTGCACTTGGCATATTGTTCAGAATGAGTTAGGAGAGTATCTAAATGGGTCACCCTCTCCTGTAAGCCCCTAGAAGTCATGTCAAGGTCAAAACCTTCATCCACAGTGCTGGTCCTTGGAAATGTTGTTGAATTCTATCTGGTGCTGGGTTCTATTGTAGATAAGCTAATTCCAAGCTTATAACTTTTTGCATACCTGTTTTTCACCAGCAAGTGGATAATTATTTTCTCTGTCATGTTGCCTGTGGTTAGAGAAGGCATGGAGTGGACACTCACATGGTTGACAACACAATACCATTAAGTAACATTTGGAGCACATAGACCTGCAAATCTAGTTCCACCAAGGCCTACACTATCTCCTTCTATGGTGTACTCATGGCTCTGGACCACTACACAGCTCCCATTGATACCAGACAGAGCAGATGCTAGAACCGGAGAAGATGAGGTATTGCTTTGTACCATTCTGCACAAGACTGAGGAAGAGGTGGTGGCAACTTTCTCAACTACTGGATAACACTTCCATAAACCCTCCCATACATAGGAGGTGTGGGATCTGCCACACACTGGTTCTACTACTAGATTTCATTCTAAGACCCGTGATTAAGGCCTTCTCTCTCCCCAAACAGTGCTTTCCCATGTTGTTTGGAATTTCCAAGCTTTATTTATCCCACATGTGCAGTCTGCATTTGTCTGAGATGTAATCAGACAAATCCTGTTCTATGTAATCAGATTTCTTTCATTAATAAGATTCTCCATGATGCTGTTGTCATCAGACTCTCACAGAAACCATCCAGCAAAATTAATCAGTATTTAATTTGTTCTGTCACTGTTCCTAATAATTATTTTTTGCCTTAGTCTTTGTTTAATTGTTTGTTTAATTGTAATTATAATTGTTGGTACCTAATTCATTCCAGATGGCTACTCTGTGATCTCTGTTTAAGCTTTTTGTAAAACAAGATATAAATATTCAAATTTATAAAGTGTAATAATTATAATACTTTTATAGACTTATTATACTAATTAGAGTATAATACTAATTATACTTATTAATATAATATATATACTAATACTAATTATAGACTTATCAGATATTATAATAGAATATTCTCAGTAAGTATGCATTAACTGAGAACTTACAGATATAAGTAGTTGAGACCTGTATACAGTAATCAAGAAGAGTCCATTCAAATTCAAAACTAATGGATAAGATGAACATTAAGCTTAGATACTATCGCAGTGGTGGCTCATGCCTGTAATCCTAGCACTCAGGGGGCAGAGGCAGGTGGATCTCTATGAGTTCAAGACCAGCCTGGTCTACAGAGTGAGTTCCAGGACAGCCAGGGCTACACACAGAAACCCTGTCTCAAAAAACAAAACAAAACAAAACAAAACAAAACAAAACAAAAACAAGATACTATCATGGATCTGACAGATCTAACAGGTTGTCTAGAATGTAAATTATGAAAAATTATAGTGCTGTGATTATACAAATTGTCAAAATTAATGTTCCTAAAATGAAACCCCTAAGGAAATGTTATAGCCAGATCATTTCTGTAGATTAAGTCTGCCTACAGAGAAAACTGGTCAATATGATACACAGACCATCTGCAGAATATGGCACAACTAGTTAATCTGGTGAGCACTCTGACCACAATTCTCTTAAGCTTTGTTTCTTGCCATGTAATCCTTTCCTTTCAGTGTGTTCTTGCTGAACATGCTGTGACTTTGCTCATATCTTCAGCTTCTTTAGGTTTGTTTTCTAACCCATTGATGAGGCTGAAATTGTATATCCTTATAACTGAATCTATTCTCAGGAAAGTAAATTTCATAAAACGCTCTTGGTCTTCAGTAAACCATGGCCTGTACTTTTAATCCTCAGAGTATTTTTTCTTCTGCCATAGATTATCATATTATTTTTTTCTATTGAATTTCTAAAATTGTTATTCCTGTATTTGTGATAGCATGTTAGTGGCTTCACAAGTCATTCAAGGGAGACAAAAAATGTGATTTACACATTTTGTGAAGTATGAGAAAAGAAGCAAGCAAAGAATGAATGAGGATGCTAGAACTACCTTGTCAGTTGAAAGTTCCCAAATACCTTTTAAATTTCTGTATGACCACCTTTGACTGTGCACAGTCTTCCAACGAGCTTTCTGAGAGACCCTTTCACATCCTTGTTCCTAAGGCTGTAAATGATTGGATTCAACATGGAAGTCATAACTGAATAGAACACAGAGATGACCTTATCTTTTCCACTCATTGTCTTGGAGTTGGGTCTCATGTAGGCAAATATTCCAGAGCCATAATAGAGGACCACAACAGTGAGGTGAGAACCACAGGTGGAGAAGACCTTGAGCCTTCCTTCCCTAGACTGCATCCGGATCACAGTAGAGATGATGTTCCCGTAGGAGACAAGGATGAGTGAGACAGGAGCTAATAGGATAATCACTCCAACTGAAAACAGAGCCATTTCAGCATGGTAGGTATCAGCTGAAGCCAGCTTTAGGAGGGCAGGTGGCTCACAGAAGTAGTGATTGATTACATTCTGTCCTTGATAAGGGATACACAGTGTAAACACACTGTCCACTGAACACGCAAATGCCCCACTTACCCAGGAAACTACAGCCAACTGGACACAAACCGTCTGGGTCATGATGGTGGAGTAGTGCAAGGGTTTGCAGACAGCCACGTACCGGTCATAGGACATGACTGCCAGCAGAGCACACTCTGTGCACCCTGCTAGGAGAAAGACCACTATCTGCATTGAGCATCCAATAAAGGAAATGGTTTTCCTTTTTGAAAGGAAGTGGGCCAACATCTGGGGGACAATGCTTGTAGAGAAGCAGAGGTCAGCAAAGGATAGGTTTTTGAGGAAAAAGTACATGGGAGTATAAAGTCGAGAGTCAGTTTGGATGAGGATTATGATCAGCAGGTTTCCAAATACAGAAAGGAGGTAGACGATCAGGAAAACACAGAATAACAAGATCTGAATTTTAGGATTCTCTGAAAGTCCCAGCAGAATAAATTCAGCTATGTAAGTTTGGTTTCCTCCTCCCATTGATGTTTATTCCTGTTTGCCTGTCATTAGAAGGAAAAACAATGTTTCAGTCCTTTATAAATGGTTGTTGGTTAGCAAGTGCCCCCTCCTGATTCTTAGCTTCCATCTGTTTCCCATTAAGTGCTAGTTCCTGAGAAATTGCACAGTAGTGTATCTGTATCCAAAGAAGTACATTCTGTTTTGTTTGTTTCATTCTTCTTAAGAGAGAAACTCACTGTGTAACTCGGGATGGCTATGAACTCAAGACTCTCCTGCTTTGGCCTCCTAAGTGCTGGAATTAGAGATGTTCTTCACCACATCTAGTTTCCACAGAAATTTTAAGCACATTTTTCCTTGGTTTTCTATTTGATTCATGAACATCATGTGCTATATAGATTTTTGTGCTTAATCCTAGTATCTAAATAAGGTTAGATGAGCAAATTACCATGTATCTATATTTAAAAATGTATCTTTAGTTCAATTACACTTATAAATTATATTTCCAGTTTTAAAACTATCTTTTGGTTCAACTCCATTTTCCTGTATTTACTGTCTGAAAATAAAGTAAACTTACTTTATTAATAAAAAAGTATTTTGTGCTTTTAGATTTCAAAACACATAGCAGCTCATAAAAAAAAAAAACATATGTCAGTAAGATGTTTGTTTGTATTTATCAGGTTCAAATAAGGATTTGTGGCCCAAACAAAAAAAAAACTGTACATATTACTTCTTATTTTTCATCTATAGATATTTTAAAGTATAAAACAACTATTGAAATGGTGATTGAAGGTAAAAGAAAAGAAAATTTTATAACCATGCACTGTGTAACTCTAGTCTGTGAACAATTATTTTATGTGAAAAGAGAAAAAAAAGAAAGATTATGTTACCTATATAAAACCTGTATAATGAGATTCACATGTCCTGGACATAACTTGGTAAGTGAACAAAGCCAAGACTGAGCAAAGGACTTGATCCTCTGAATGGACTCTCAGAGCTTCGGGATAGAAAATCACAGATTATCTCTGACTTTTGTCAGGATCCTGAGTTCCTCATTAGATTGGGTTCCATGAAGATTCTGGGTCTAGAACTGAATATATAGTGAGACCTTATCTGGAGAAGCAAACAAAGAAAAGTACAAAGAGTTGCCCTCTAAAGGGTATAATAATATGGGAACAATGAGAGATAGAATTCTGGAATGATAACTTTTTTTTTAAATAGTGGCTAAGTTTGTAACAGCTTTGTTTGTCATAGCCAGAAGCTGGAAACAACCCAGATGACCCTCAATTGAGGAACAGATACATAAATTGTGGTACATCTACACAATGGAATATTACTCAGCAATAAAAAACAAGGAAATCATGCAATTTGCAGGTAAACTGTGGGAACTGGAAAAGATGATCCTGAGTGAGGTATCCCAGAAGAAGAAAGACACACAGGTTATATACTCTTAAGTGGATATTAGATATATAATATAGGATAAACATACTAAAGTCTGTACAGCTAAAGAAACTAATCAAGAAGGAGGACTCTGCCAAGATACTCAATCTGCATTCAGAAAGGCAAAGAGGATGGACACCAGAAGAAGGAGAAAACAGGGAACAGAACAGGAGCCTGCCACAGAGAGCCTCTGAAAGACTCTACCCTGTAGGGTATCAAAGCAGATGCTGAGACTCATAGCCAACCTTTGGGCAGAGTGCAGGGAATCTTATGAAAGAAAGAAGGGGGAGATAGAAAGACCCGGATAGGAGAGGAGCTACTCATGGAGAGCAACAGAACCAAAAACTCTGAGTACAGGGGTCTTTTCTGAGACTGATAATCCAACCAAGGACCATTAATGAAGATAACCTAGAACACCTGCACAAATGTAGTCCATGGCAGTTCAGTGTCCAAGTGGATTCCATAGTAATGGGAAGAGGGACTGTCTCTGAAATGAACTGATTGGCCTGCTCTTTAATCACCTACCCCTGAGGGGGCAGCAGCCTTACCAGGACACAGAGGAAGACAATGCAGCCACTTGTGATGAGACCTGATAGACTAGGATCAAAAGGAAGGGGAGGATGACCTCACCTATCAGTGGATTGGGGGTGGGGCATGGGTAGAGAAGGGGGAGAGAGGGGAGGGTTGGGAGGGGAAGAGGGAGGTGGCTACAGGGGGGATACAAAGTGAATAAATTGTAATTAATAAAAATTAAAATTTAAAAAAATCAAAAAAATAGTAGTTAAGTATATGATTATACTCATGATTTAAAATTTCATTCCACTTTGCACTTAAAATTTGTGTACTTCTCTGAAATTGTGCTATACTTTAATGAAGCTTATTTATTAAAGGTTTATTTAGTCTTTCAATATGTGTGCATATCTAAATGTATGAGAGAGTGTGTGCACACACATGTTCACATGTGTGTATCTGTGCATTGTGTGCATGCATACATGCAGATCCCCACGGATGCCAGAAGAGGTCATTGGATCCCCATGAAGCTAGATTCACAGATGGTGGTGAGCCACCTCAGTTGAGTGTCAGGAACCATTCCTGTGCTCTACAAGAGCAGCAAGTGCTGTTGACTACGAAGCCATCTCTTCAGCCTTGAGAAGCATATTCAAGAACGTGCCACTTGGCAACTAAGATTATACTGTTTCAGAATAGAGTGAGTACTTCTTAAACACCTGTAATAGATTGTCTAAACAAGTTAACTGGTTTATCTGACATATTATATTATATTTTTTCTAAAACTTTCTGGATGGAAAAAATGGTTTTGAAAGATAAAAAAGAGAAGACAACAATGAAAATAGCATAGGAAAACAGAGTGTGGGTAAACAGGAAGATAATGTAACACTGTGACATGAAAGCATAAGGGACCTATTTGGGGGAGAGGAAGAGGACCTACCTAAGAGGCAATCCAGGAGGATGAGAGCGAACGGTGCTGAGGGGATGAATAAGAACAAAATATAACCACATAATCACAAACATAATAAAGCTCCTCAGGTTTTATGTTCACTTAGAAAATTAATAGTAAAATATAAAATTAAAATGGTAGTTTAGAGATGTACATTACCTAAAGGCCACAGCAGGCAGAACTTCAGCAAGTGTCGATCTAAATACTCAACATGCTTCTGTACATCCTGCCACATAGTCTTCAACTGTCAGCCTCACCAAGAACTACATGCCTCCTTGCTGTGTCCAACAATAAAAATAAAGTGATTTGCAATAGCATTTAATAGCATTAAGATAAAATCTAATGTATGGGATGAGAATCCCTGAAGAGCTTATTTGTATTTACAAATGAAACCAAAAAGAATTGTGAGCAAAAGAAAGTGGCTATTAGAATGATAATTGACAAATACTTTAATTTTATTATTGCATTCATGTGTGTTTATTTATTTTATTTTTAATTAAGTAATTATTGTTTTTTTAAGTTTAGTTTACAATATATTTGAATATAAAAACACATACTGTGACAAAATGTTGTTTTAAAATTTTTTTTATTAATTACACTTTATTTACTTTGTATCCTCCCTCTAGTTCCCTCTCTCCTCCCCTCCCATTCCCTTCCTCCCCCTTCTCCACAAATGCCCCTCTCCAAGTCCACTGGTAGGGGAGGGTTTCTTTTCCTTCCTTCTGATCCTAGTCTATCAGATCTCATCAGGAGTGGCTGCATTGTCTTCCTCTGTGGCCTGGTAAGGCTGCTGCCCCATCATGGGTAGGTGATCAAAGAGCAGGCCAATCAGTTCATGTCAGAGACAGTCCCTGTTCCCATTACTATGGAACCCACTTGGACCCTGAATTGCCCTGAATCTGTGTTCTAGGTTATCTTCATTCATGCTACTTGTTGGAGTCTCAGTCTCAGGATAGACCCCTGTGCTCAGAGTTTTTGGTTTTGTTGCTCTTCTTGTGGAGCTCCTGTCCTCTCCAGATCTACTATTTCCCACTTCTTTCCTAAGATTCCCGGAACTCTGCCCAAAGGTTGGCCATAAGTCTCAGCATCTGCTTTGATAGTCTGCAGGGCAGAGCCTTTCAGAGGTCCTCTGTGTCAGACACCTGACTTGTTCCCTCTTTTCTCCTTCTTCTGATGTCCATCCTCTTCGCCTTTCTGGATAGGAATTGAGCATTTTAGCAAGAGTCCTCCCTCTTGATTAGTCTGTTTATGTGCACAGATTTTAGTAGGTTTATCCTATATTATATGTCTATATGAGTGAGTATATACCGTGTTTGTCTTTCTGCACTCAGGATCATCCTTTCCAGTTCCCACCATTTACCTGCAAATTGCATGATTTCCTTGTTTTTTTATTGCTGAGTAGTATTCCATTGTGTAGATGTATCACAATTTCTGCATCCATTCCTCAGTTGAGGGGCATCTGGGTTATTTCCAGCTTCTGGCTATTACAAATAAGGCTGCTACAAACATGGTTGAACAAATGTCCTTATTGTGTACTTGAGCCTCTTTTGGGTATACACCTAGGAGTGGTATGGCTGGATCTTGAGGAAGCACTATACCTTGTTGTCTGAGAAAGCGCCAGATTGATTTCCAGAGTGCTTGCACAAGTTTACATTCCCACCAGTAGTGGAGGAAGGTTCTCCTTTCTCTACAACCTCTCCAGCATGTGCTGTCACTTTTTAGTTTTAGCCATTCTGATGGGTGTGAGGTGAAATCTCAGGGTTGTTTTGATTTTCATTTCCCTGATGACTAAGGATATTGAACATTTCTTTTTTTTCTTTTAAAGGGTATCAGTTAGTAGGGTATCAGGTGCTACTTTAATCCATTATATTTTTCTACACTATCATTCTTTTTTTTTTTTTATTTTAGCATGCATGGAGATAACCCAGAACCCCTGCACAAATGTAGCCCATGACAGTTCAGTCTCCTAGTGGGTTCCATAGTAATGGGGACAGGGACTGTCTCTGACAGGAACTGATTGGCTTGATCTTTTATCACCTCCCTCTGAGGGGGGAGCAGCCTTACCAGGCCACAGAGGAAGACAATGCAGCCAGTCCTGATGAGACCTAATTGACTAGTATCAGAAGGAAAGAAAAGAAGTCCTCCCCTACCAGTGGACTTG